GTGTGATGAAAGATGTATTACCAAATCAAAATCTTTCCTCAAAGTGTACCAAATGATGTCATGCTACTAAATTTACTCAAAACATGCACATATTTGCTGATTTTACCTGAAGGAAAACAAAAGGCTAAAATTATAAGTTACATCAGCATGTTTTATTTAATGTTATCTTACACCGTATTTATTTGAGTGGAGAGAATATCTATTACTGGTTTTATTTGGTCCTATAATGAGTATTTTTTTATGTTGTGTGTGTTCATGTTCTGAACACTATCCGTCACCTTTCTAATGTAATTCTTTCTGAAAGAAAACAGTTACTCATAATTTGCATTTATGAAAATAAATGTGGAAAAAAAACATCAGAACTCATTATGCAAATATTATGATGATGCAATTATGAATATCTAAAAGAAAGAGTAACCCTTTGGTACCTCACTATTCTCACTATTAACTAGTTGCTTATTTGCATAAATTGACTGTTTATTAGTACTTATAAAGCACATATTCTGCATGACCATATTCTACATCCCTAATCCTACCCTATACCTAAACTTAAACTACCTTACTAATATTAATAAGCAGCAAATTAGGAGTTTATTAAGGAAAAAAACGTAGTTAATGGTTTGTTAATGGCGAGAATTGGACCTTAAAATAAAGTGACCAAAGAAAGTTTTCAAAAATAAAATGGGTAATCACAAATGTCACACCTACAAAGTACATCAGCAGTTTTTGCAGTTTCATACATTTTACAAAATCTAGTATCTCCTACACTGTCATTAATGCTTAAGTAATTGTGCTGCGTCAGTTGGTGTATTAGCAAGCTAATATACACACATTTACTTTAAGACTGCTCTGTTCTTTGTAATTGTTTCAGAAGGTGAGAGTACAGTAGGTGTGGTCCTGAGATTTAACGACAATGCACAACAATACAATAAGCAACAGTAATTTTAGATAATTAAGTGTAGTTTCTACAACACAAGAGAACAAACAGAGGTAAATACAGTTAAACGATGAAATAACTGTGTAACTATATGTTGTGTGTGTATATAAAATCATTAAAATATATAAACCATTTGGTGCAGCATGAAAGACCAGCATAAGGGTCTACTAAATGTAATTTTATAAATAACTAAACCATTAATAATAATGGAAATGTAATATGTTGCAATCACCCATGAAAAGGGAGAACTGAAAATGGGAGATTTCCTGGAATGGTGTCTGCCTCACTGACAGAACTGACTTATAGTTTGGCCATAAATCCTGTCAGGAATAGATCCTCTTGCATAAACTGAAAATTTTATACATTTTACAGCATCATAGCCTGTAAACAAATATCAACATTTATGCAATAAGTGATATTTGGGAATAACTAATTCAAATACCATTCAAATGATAGGAATCTCGATTTGATCACTTTAGCAAGTAAACGTGTTGACCCTATTTGACCCATCCCTGTCTTGGACAATGATGGTTGTATGATTGACAGGAATGGTGCATTTTGCAGTTTTGGAATACAGAAGGTTGAGACAAGTTGAAGTCTTACTGACACCAGAGACGTTATACATTCCATATTGCTTCATGACCTGGAAGCCAGAGTGACCAGAGATATGTTGTATGTATGTGTGTGTCTGTGTCTACCTGGTATTCCCTACGTAATGGGGACCAAATGTGACCCCCAACATTAGTACCAGTAAATTTTGACCTTATGGGGACCTTTTTTGGCTTCCAAAGTTTCCATGAGTTTTTTGAAAATCTAAAAATGCAGAAAGCCTTGTGTGATGGGTAGGGTTAAAGTAAGGGGACAGAAAATACAGTTTGTACAGTATAAAAACTGGTAACACTTTACAATAAGGTTCATTAGTTAGCATTAGTTAACTGCATTAATTATCATGAACTAAGTTTGAACAATACTTCTACAGCATTTATTAATCTTAGTTAATTTTAATTTCAGCATTTACTAATGCATTGTTAAAATCACAAGTTGTGTTTAACGTTATAATGCACTGTGAACTAACAATGAACAACTGTATTTTTAACTAACATTAACAAAGATGAATAAATACTGTAATAAATGTATTGTTCATTGTTTGTTCATGTTAGTGAATACATTAACTAATGTTAACAAATGACACCTTATTGTAAAGTGTTACCTAAAAACTATTACATCTATAGAATGTCCCCATAATGATAGGAATACGTGTGTGTGTTTTGTATTTTTTAACTTATCATTTCATTCATTCATGCATTCATTCATGCATTCTTGCATTCATGCGTTCATACTTTCATGTAGCTGCCTGTACTTCTATGCCTGTTGCCTACATAGAACGACAGTAATCTTGGTGATGCCAAGATGGCCACCAGTGGTCATGTGCTTAAACACTACGGCTCCAACTTATGCAGAGAGCATGTGTAAATATCCACATTAGGTCATTGCTAACTTTTGTTGCTTGTAGTTAGGGCTTTATCCCTGAGCATGATGTAGCATGTGAACAATTTAATGTATAAGAAACAGGAAGGATGATTAAATAGGAAGTTCATCTTTGACTAGTATTATGTGATTCACAGCATTAATAAGAAGTTGACATCAGTTCCCAGCTTAAGCTCGGAAGCTGGTTTTGTGTGTCAAGCTATTCTTCTCTGTAGCACCTCTGGGTGAATGAAGTCATGCTCTTTCTACATAGACCATTCAAAGTGTACCAGAGTGGGTATCTGAGTGCTGAGTGAGTGCACGCAAGCTTATGTCAATCAGTCTCTAACTCAAATTACTAATAAGACAACAGAGTCGATGATAAAATAAATATTGTGCTGCCTGTCCTACATATCGAGACCTTTTGTTTATGTTTGTGTCTGAAAGAGAATAAAGTCAATGTACTATTCAGTCAATGACCTAACATTTGTGTATGACCATACCACCACATGAAACTGGTTCAAACAGGCTTCCAAGTCAGCATAACTTTGCGCCTAATGATCTAAAACAAATTCAGTAGCCAATCAAATATTTTTTTGTTGATAAAAAATGGAATAATACTGGAAAAATGGAAAAAACTGTTGGAAAAAGGTGTCTTATTAGGCAAGATGTGATGATAACAATGAATTTGGATGTGCCTTGATGCCTCTATACTGTGTGTCTATTCCCTATGTTCAGGTTTCAGAAACAAACTGTGTGTAACACAACAAAAAAAGACATCCAAAACAAATCTGAGCTTTGTCATTCTGCTGTGCCTTTAGGTTAATAATGGTGATATTGTGTATATAAGCAATTTCAGTGCTTCAAAGTCATCATAAAATTACCATTTTACATCTGACCATTTGTTATCTTGGTGGTGTTTTCATTGAGATGTGATTTCCTGAATGCATGAAGATGTGATCCAAACCAAAGATCTGTTACACCTGAGGTTTGTCTAGCTCAATCACCACCTATAACAACATGAAGACATTGACCTATTAGCTTCTTATTGCAAGATTAAAACTCTGTTAGTCTTTGTCAAACGTTACATAACACCAATCATCTAAGAGACACACAGTGAACACAGTGAAGACGCATTCACTTATGTAACCATAATGATTTACTCTGGACCCAAGAGTCCTTACATTTGTTTAGAGACTTAAGAGGGTAGGTGCTAATTCAGTGACTGTTCAAGTGGCTGTTTAGACAACATGTAGCGCTCTTCAAGGTCTTCGTTAGTGTAATGCCAGGCTATATTCACACACAAAATTAGATCTAAATGTTGTTAAATTAAGGATGGTTTTATGAAACGGTCATCCTCCCCCAAACCTCTTTCTGGATGGACTCAATTACTGGTAAATGTTTTGTCTGTTCACAGTTGTAAACTGACCATCATCTGTTTGTTTGACTTCCTCCCAGTAGACCCAATAAATGCTGTGTTTCCTCCCGTACAGTGAGGAAAAATGTTGAGTGCTGCTTAACAATACAGACCCTCTTTATGATAACCCGACTCGCTTGTAAATGCTCGCGACCATTCGCTGACCCTGGAGAGGATATGTGTCTACATTATTAGTGTTTATTAAAGTAAATCAGCAACAGCAGGCAGCCTCCTCGGGCAAAATGAACGAACGTTTGGAGAATTCTGTTATCCCTAAAAGGCAGACATGAGGCAATTTCTCCATAAAACCTGAACCCACTAAAAAGTGGCTTTGCCAAGCACAGAAAGGCCATTTTGAGCATCCAAGAGCCAAATGACTTAATGCACATAAAATCAATCCATGAACTTATTTGTTGAGATTAGCTTTAAACAAGAACCGATCGCATTCTTTAGACCCGTCGTCAACGTTCACACACAAGCCCTCTGATTGACCGTCCGACAAACAAAGCGATCGTGTGTTATTCGAATCGACTCCAAAGCATATCAGCGGACGTGCTAAGTGACTTCTGACAGCTCATTTGTTTTGGGCCTCCCACTAAAGAGATTACCAGAGGCAAATACCATCAGTGAAGGGGGTTCACGGAGATAAATTAAAGTATTTGTTTAATACAGACTTACTTTCTTTATGCAGCTGCCAAGTTCTAGATGAAATGGAGAGAGGGGGTTTAGGACAGTGGAACTGGATAAGACACAGATTCAGAGTATGAAAATCATCCAAACGCTAAAAATGGAAGATGATTCGGGCATGTCGCCCACATTGGGGGATTTGTTTAAAGAGCTTTTGAGTGATTAATTGTCAGCGGAAAAAAACACAGAAGTAGTTCGACAATTAACCTGCGTATGGGTGAATTCGTGTCTGTGTTTATTGAGTGCCTGTCTACTTGGAATGTATGGAAACAATTTCAAGATAGCTTTCTCATAATCGCATCGGCATGTGTTATAAGTTTAGGTTTTGTAATGTCTCGCATGCCTTTGGAAAACTGGGTTTATGTTGTAGTGTAGAGCAGCAATTCGCATCAGAAGAAAGAGAAGAACTCTGTTGTCAGATGCAAATCTTACACAGACCTTTATTGTTCTTTTAATAGTTGATTTTTACACCACATACAAGGGACTCTGTTGTCAGATGCAAATCTTACACAGACCTTTATTGTTCTTTTAATAGTTGATTTTTACACCACATACTGTACACCGCAGTCCTTCTCAATAATGTACATCCCTTCTCATTTACAAATTTTACAGACATTTTGAAGTGGTCATAACATACTTTAACCTTCTTTAAACTGTTAATTTTCCTACACATACTTTCATTTTCCTTCTCAAAACAACATCTTGGCTTTTAAACAAGTGTATCAAACCTTCCTACTTCATGAAGACACTACGAAAATATGAATAACAGCAAACCAATGTCCATGAATGGTTGCTAATATCGAGTAGCGCCAATCATCAAGTCCATCTAGTCGTATCCAACTCTATTCCAAAGTTTCCTTCTAAATCTCACATCAACATTTCTCAAGCCCTCATTCGACATTCAACTTTTCTTCTATCCGACAGTCCGTTTCTACAACAACTTTCTGCTTTGACAAGCATGTACATGCACTGGGCCCTCATGATAATACAGGCAGGACTCAACAAGTAAAGCTCCATGCAAGATGCCACATTGAAATATTCATCCATCATTTTGGGGGGGGGGGAAAACTTATGGCTCAGGTTTGATTTCTGCATTAACAAAATAGCTAATTTTCCATTTGGACAGTTTGAAATCAAATTGCTACAAAATGTAGCATTTTGTCTTGATAAAAATTATACCTTCTAATTTAAATATAAAATGGAGCTGATAAAACATCTGTTTAATGGGAATGTACTTGTAAGACTTGCCTTCCAGTAGAGCTATGAATCAGACTTTTACAAAGTATTCATTGCTTTGGATATTTCATTTTTTTTTTCTCAGTGGGTATTCTTCCCTTCTAAAAGCTAAACACAGTGCTTTTAATAAAAACAAAAAAGAGCTACAGTAAATATCTTATTGATAAGTTTGAAAAAAGTAAAACTTTTAATTACAAAAAAAATAAATCAATATTAATAAAATAAAAAAAAATATGACCAAACTAACAATAAACAAGACTAGATGTGTGATCTTGCCCTTTCACACAAACCAACGTGGTGATTTAAAGTGTGCGGGATGTGTCTTCAATCTTCAATCCCTTGAGATCCACACAGTCGCCTCACGAATACTGTCTTTCTGGTACTGGTGCGGCCCACATGGACCTGGGAGGGTTTTGGGGGGAGGGATTTGGTAATAATAGCTGCCATTGTGGACAGTAACAAAAACACTGCTGTAGAAACACACAGTCCATACACGCACATAAATACAAGTCCTCCACACAGTGCCACTCCATGTGCACCCTGGGATAGCTTAGTCTTTACACCATGGTCTCCTTTCTCTTGCCCAACGAGCAGATTGAACGCTTGTCCTTTTTGGATTTGCGGTGCAGGAAAGGGGCGGAAATTGAAGATGATGAAGAGGACGAGGAGAGAGTGGAGGTTGCGGAGGGCGTGGGGCTGGGGGGCTCCTCAGAGCTGGGGGACGAAGGGGCGGAGGCCGCGGCCCGTGGACAGTTCTCATCCGTCTCTTCCATATGGATGATGGCGGAGACGGAAGACGAGCTCCTTTTGGTGCAAATGTCGGTACTGGCAGGGGTGGACAAGGATTCACTCTCTGGGAGCGGCGAATCTTTCTGGGTCGACATGGCAGTGCGGAGGCAATTGATCCACTGTTGCTTGTGGAAGATGTCATTGACCTGCAGTGTGTGGGACTGGCCATGAGATGGGTCCTGGAAGCGTACCCGGAAGATGTTCTTGGCTAAAGGGGGGAAAACATATTCCAATGAGCAAAAGGAAACAAGAAATGACAAAAAGAAAATGCGTGATCAGCTTGACGTTGAGAGTCGTCAACCTTACCTTTATCGGCATTACTAAAGGCCCCTCGGAATGAGCCGCCCATGCGGACGTCTCCATCCTGCAGGTCTTCCAATACGAGATCCTGCACTGGGATCGGCTGGCGGTACACCTGGAAACAATGCCGATCGTTCCGCGTAACAGGCCGGGTCAAGACCAGAACCTCCGTGAAGAGAAACACATGCAACTTCTAAAAAGAGGACAAAGGAAAAAAGAGAGATCTGGTTATTGACGTGTTGTTTGAACGTTGGGCTGATTTGCAAGTATTAACAATTTTCTCTCCTGGCGCTCTCAAAGATTCCCTTGTCATTGTGTCATTTGTTTGAGGGACAAAGGGAGCCAGTTCCTTCCCTCTAATGGCCTTATTTGGAATATGGTGGCTTTTGTGTTTATATTTCCAGTGAATAAAAGACAAGTGATTTCCCTCCAGTGGTTTGGGCTGTTATGGGTGTGTTTGTATTGAAGACAAAAACTCACCGTGCCACTTTTGTTGCGAAGTTCCCCATGGCAAAGCAGGCTCTTGCACTGCTCTATGCGAGGGTCTTTCTGTCTGTCATCCAAATATTCCAGCTTATCGATATAGTACTGACACTCGGACTCCCCTTTCTTCATGTTTATGTCAGCCAACACGGCCTGAATGATGCTTATCTGGAGACAAGGAACAAAGGCAGCATTAACATCAAATGTCACCTAAACGACTCAATTTGAAAGCCTACAGTTACTAGATTTGTGTCTGAACTTACTGCCTGCTCAAGGCTTGCTGTGTCTGGGTGATCTGGTGGTGTGTGTCTTAAAATCTCTTTCAGAAGAAGGGGGTATTTGACCAGTCGTGAACGAGGGATGTCTAAGAAGCTCCACAAGTCTAGTTTCCTGCTGAAAGGTGACTCAAGGCAGCGCTGTAGGAAGTCCTGAACTCTTGGGTCCTGTTTCTTCTGGTCAAGCAAGGCTTTGGCGGCCAGCTGGTTACTGCAATATGCCCTGTACGCGTTTAACCTTGGCAGCTGTGGAGCAAAGCGAGAATTAGTCTTAACAATCTAACAATGTTAGCGTGCCTTTTATAATAATGAAAGTACAATCAAGAGATGGATACTTACCCAGTCCACAACAATCTTGCCGATCTGTCCCACTGTGCCATCTGGGCCTGTAGCCTTCGCCAAATGAGCGAGAAGATCTGATTGGGTAAAAGATGAGTTAGCACTACTTGTCGTCAAAATTCATTAAAAACAATAAGGTGTTGTGTACAATATTCACCTTCATGAAGAGGAATATACGCATCTAAGTCTCCAAAGATGGCTGTCAGCTCCTCCTCAGACATGATAGAAAGTTTCAGCATTGGATCATGGTACGCCTGGACATAGAAAATGAGAAAATGATGAGTAAATAATAGCAGCTTCTAATTTTACAGGGAGAGACATTTTTGGCTAGAAATGGAGGAAGGAAGTGAGCCAATGTATCTGACTCTGAAAGCACAGCCAAGAACTTATTCGGTCTGTTTGCTTTAAATGTTCTAACAAAAAAATTTGAAATGGACAAACCTTTCGGGCTAATTTCAGGTCTTCAATCAGGTCCTGTTCTCCTCGAGACAGCTCAAAAATAGCCTGGAGAGACAGAAAACGAACAGTCACATTCATAACCAAGAAAACTGTTTGGGTATTTTTAGTCAAGCCCCCTACATATCTGTCTGATTCCTCCCTTTGGTGGGAAATATTTGAGGGGCTCACAGTTTGCTGTAATGTCTGATTACTAGGTCTAGTTGTGAATGAGAGGTGGAGGCTTTGTGCGTCAGACCGGCCAGTCTGTGTTAGCACTGTACGTCTGACTCTGAGATGCCAGAATGCAGCCGGACTCTCTCAGCTCCATTCCACTGTGTGCCAAGAACACAGGCCAAAAAAACACAGCCAGACTGAGAGAGGTACAGTGAGGCAGAATAAAAACAGAGCAAGAGGAGGAACAGGGCGCTTTCCAAGCCCCAGGCCCTTTGGGTTTAATAAGTCACACAGGCCTGATTCAGTAGCGTCTGGCAGGGGGACTGAAAGTGGATTTAATAGTCTAGGTTTCTCGGTGCTGTCTGGATTCCTCACCTCTTGTCTCTTAATCTCTTTGGTGGAAAAGGTTCCTTTCTGATGGACGTCCAGGGTCTCGGACCAGAGCATGCTGTTTCGTCGCTTGGGTGGTGTGGGAGCCGCGGCCTTGCTGCAGGGTTTCTGCTGGGGCACACCCGGAGACCGCCCGTCGCCCCGAAACGAGGCCTGGAGGGTCTGGCCGAAGCGTCGGACGGCCCCATTCTTCACGGGAGAGATGAGGTTCGCCAGCGAGGTCACTCGGCCGAGAGGCCGCACACGCTTAGTACAGGGTTCCTATGAAACACAAGGATGGAAATAAACGTTAAAACTTAATCACCCCCAACTGACCACAACAGATTCCTTAGTGCTTCATTAACTGCACAACTGCCAACACAAGAAGGCTAAAAATCGAGAATGGAGCACAAGTTTCTGCCTCACATAAACAGAGGCTGTCGTATGAGTCACTGGATACACGCTCCATTGTTGCGGGTGTGAAGGGGTCAACCGGAGGTCAGGGTGATTGGAGGCAGCAGCTGTTATGCCAGTCACGTGAGATTGACCCCTCAGCAAAAAAAATAATTATATATATACCTACACATACAAACACGAACAAAGACCCCTCTCTGGCTGCAACCCTGGAGACTCAGCATTCAAGAGGCATGACTGGAATGTAGGAGACCTCAGTCAGCTGTCCCACACTGATGACCCACACACACTCGACAACATAGCCTAACTATAGCAAACAGGCCCCCCTGATCAGGGTGGTTGTTCACTTAATGGAGACAAAGTTGCTCTTTCAAGAAGACGTTTAAGAGCTGTTGGTTGTGTGTATTTATGTGGGTCAGACGGACCACCACGTTGAGTTACAGATTTGACCCAGGACTTTAAACAGGGTGCACTCTACTCCCTTCTACTCTGTTCCTCTCTCTCCTTTCGTCCATTAAGAGCTGTTTATGGCTTCGTGTTGAGGCAGGCCCTGTAGCCCTTGCGTGAGAGAGACAGGCACACCTGAACCCCCTGGAGAGGGGGAGGTGAGCACTCTCAAACCTTATATCCATAATGACTGGGCCTCCAGCCAACTTCAACAGACCTGAGAAGGGGGGAAAAAATCAAAGCAAAGGAGATCTGAGACATTGATCCTACACTCTAGAGATCTGACTGAAAAATGTTCCTACCATTCCAGGAACAATGTGAGCTTTGTTGTCAAAAAAAAGTGTTTGCGTCTTTCAAACAACGAGAACAAAAAGCACTGTGTGCTTGCACTTTTTAAAAATGCACATTTCAATTGATTTTCCAGTGCTGGATGGTTTTCCAGCTGCTGAAAGTATATAAAAAAAGGATGTGTTGTTCTCTTGGCAAAGTGAAACCAAGGAACCATTCCTCCGACCAGCAGAGACAGCTGCCGAGCAGATCTACGACTTTATTTTAGCAGGAACTGCAACTGTGGCCCAAGCCCAACTGGACTTGGCCACCCAGATCTGCCTGCCTGCCCTTCCTCTGCTGTAACATATCATGGAAGTAAACATGAAGACCACAACTGAACCTTCTCCACCGGTGGCCAAAAACACAAGATGTTGGGGAGACTGACCGCAGAGGAAGCAGTCTGGCTCAAAACTGGATTTAAATGAGCACCAAAGTACCTGTGTGAGCCATCACTGGCTCAAAGCAAATAATTGCAGTGTTGCTGCTGCCTATTGCACTCTTTCTACTATTTAGGGAAACCCTGCAATAATAAACAATTTTTTTTAAATTCTAGATTATCTAGTGGAAAGAGCAACATCTAAGCAGACAGATAGTCTGATAGTGTGGTTATTTCTGGCTGTGTTGACTCGTAGGGACCCCCTGGGAGAGTCGCATTGGGAGAACTTAGCAGGGGGAAGTCTCCCCCACAGGAACCAGTATTTAGACTACTGCTGTTAAGTAATGTGTGCGTGTGTTTGCTTAGCTATACGTTGGGGACAAAATTGTCACTAGAAGTTGGCTAAAGGTTCCATTGGGAATAACCCCCAAAAGTAAAGGAAAATTAAGTAATATAATAAAAAAATTATATATATTTTTTTATTCTAAAAATGCAAAAGATTTTTAGGGGTACAGTTAGTCTATTGTTATTATTAGCTGTGAATAAAAACAAGATAAGTCTATGGTATTTTGGCATGAAAATGATTACCTGGCAAACAAACAATAATTTGTGATAAAAAAATTAACGAGGGGAACCAAGCTCTAGTTAATGTCCCTCAGCCTTGAGCCACAACTTCCTTAAAATCTCCTGATTCATTCATAATTTGCTACTTCTGCTTTAGTTTTCCCGACAACTAAACCATTTCTGTGGCCACTTCCGAATCTGAATTGAAACCGCAAATAGGAATAGCAGCCTGCTGAAATGAAGTGAGATAAAAGCCTTTTTTCTGGGTCTTAAATGCATTTCTAAATACTCAGAGCAGGGCTCAAGCACACCTGGGCTATGGGCTGTGATTGCTTTCAGACAGCTGGAATGTTCTTCATCTCTGCATGCTCTCACACCTTCAAAAAAAAAAACCCTGAGGGGCTCCTCAAACCATTAATATACCTGCAAAACGTTTGCTCAGGTGTACAGCCAAACACACAGGCTTTAAACTTCCCGTATAAGCACATTTAGCCACCACAATGACAACCTGACAATTTAAAAAAAAAGTTAACATGTAAACCAGTAACTCAATGACTATAGCTGAGAAGACCTTTAGCCTTGTTGATTTGCTGATCACTCACTCAAGTCTCACATCCTTGAGAAACACACCTGTAGTTCTTACTCCTTTAAAGGCAAGTGTGTGTACCAGATAACAACAGGGCAAGGTACTGACTTGGCTGATAAAGAAAGTAAAGGAACTCAAACATTTGCGATTAATCGCCTTTGGGTCTCACCTCTAGTTCTTTGCAAGTCTGGTTCTGGTAGTCTATCTTCTGTAAAGTCCGTTTGATAGGTACCACACAGGGTTCATCGTAAGCCACCATTTCTTTCAATAAAATCCACTGGTTGGTTTCTGTTATTTCCAAGAGTCGGCAATAATCCAAAAGTGATTCTTAAATAAATACGTGATGTAACATGAGAGATCTGAAAACCTCACCGTCCCCCTAACTTGTGATTGTCCGCCTGAGCGGAGCTTTCTAACTTCTAAACACACTCTCGGTGTGTGTACTCTACAATCTCTAACTTTGTTCTAGGGATGTGAGAGGTAGGGAGTGCTCATATACAGAGAGTTTTGAAAGGGGCGGAATCAGGATGTAAACTCACCAATGGCAAGAGGGCGGAGGAGGGGATATGTAAAAGAATCTGAAGGGACAAAGTCTGAGAAAACCTGACTATCTCTGCAACCTCATATCAACAAAGATCGTCTACTAGATATTACCGAATCAGAAATGTATTATCAAAACATTTCATGGTCCACCAAAACCTAGATTTAAACCCTAATTAAAGTCATTTTGGACCTTAAACTAACCAACCAAACCTTTCATACTCCCCAGTTTGCAGTAAAAGTTTTAAGATAAAATGCAAAACAGTGTAGCTTTGTGGTGAGTGAAAGCGAGTCTGTTTCTATTTGCAATGTGGATTGGTTTATGCATGTCTTTGAGTTGCATGAAGGGTGTAAAGTACAGGCATATTTGCTTTGAGATCTGCCTAATGAAGAACTGGGTTGTTATCACCCACTCATCAGCAGGGGAGGGGGGGATGATCAATTACAATATCAATCAGGGCTGTCTGTGTATTGGAGGTGTGTGGGGAGTTCTGATAAATCAAAAAGTTTCACTGGTCCAAACCAGAAACTGACCCAGACCACGCCATAAACAAATCCTGCTTAACAGGATCCTCTCTATTTTTCTCAGCGTACACAAAACTGCACAGCCATTGACCTCCACATTTGGGTGACCAAAAATCCACTAGCACTGGTTCACTACAGACCCAAATCTTTTACTGCTACCTTCCCACACTGTCAGCAGAGGTATTAACTTCAGCTGTGCAAATGGACTAGCATGTGATGGCGCTTTTTAAGAGAGATTTGTGTTAAAAAGTGTGAAAGCGTTGGGATGCATTCTAAGCAAATGGAGATGAACGATATGCAGACTCTAAGCTCAGCCTCCTGTGTCAATACAAGTGTGTGAAAGGACATGCATTAGTGTGTTTGGATCAGGACACCTTCCACTGCTCAGTGGACGGGTCAAACGGAAGCAGGATTATTTGCTAATGAGGCTGCGTTCAGTTTACATGTTATGCTATTGTATTATTTAAAACATTACACTCCCTATTTTCACAACTAATCAGTGTATTTTCATAGTGTGTATAAAAATCACATTTATGTACTTTTTTTTTTTTTTTTCAACTAACTAATTGAATTGTAAGTGTACTGAAAACCAACTAAAACCAAAACCAAAACCAACTACATTAACAATGACCAACTACACTCTTCAAAACATCTTTCTTTGTGTTCCACAGAGTAAGAAAAAAAATCATACGGGTTTGAAACAACATGAGGGTGAGGAAATTACAAGGTTTTCATTTTAAAGTAAACCATCCCTTTATCAATCCTTCTCAGTTCCTCAGAACAGCATTTGCAACATCATCTTATAAATTAAGATGCTGAAAGTGCAACATAAATTAGATGACTAATCGACAAAATGTAAACTTGTGAAATTGAATTGCAGTAAAACATAGTAATATATGGCACATTAACCAATGTCAATGTCATTAATTTTACCACTACAAGTGGCTTTACTAAATGAGTGAAATTAGCTTAAAACATTTTTTTAGTCAAACTTGAGTAAAATAGTGTGCATGTAATTTTTATTGTGCAGTTTACAGTTTGTATAATATTTGTGTGCATATATTATAAATAATATTTAAATATACAAATATAATTTACATATTTTTTTGTTACACTGTAATAAATTGTACTATTTTGGACAATGTTTGAAACTTTGTATTGCTAACACTTTTCATGTTATTTCCTCCTTATGATAAATCATTTGTATTCTTCATTCTAAGTCGCTTTGGATAACAGTGTTTGCTAATGAATATATATAAAACAGAAATTAAACAAAAGAACACATGATTTTAATAATACTTTTTGACCCATCTTTGCCATAAGTATAATAGATGTTGGTGCTAGCAGTTCATAACCGATTTAGCAGCAGTTAATGGGTTTAATCATGTGACTACTCATCACATAATGGTTGTGGAAAAAAAAAAACCCTGAATATGTATGGTTAAAAATCAAATAGGGCTATCAGTGTGGGTGATATCAATAACAGGGTTCCTTCATCTCGGCGTGTTTTGACGAGACGTGTGGTTGTCATATTGCATGAGAGCTTGGCTCAGCCTGCACCCCCTGCAGGCTAACACCTCGACACACATGACAGCTGGACGTCTGGGTGTGAAGCACAAACACAGCACTCCTATTTTAGTGCTAAACACCAGCACACAAGAGTGACTCACTTCATGCGGGCCGTGAGCGAGCTTGCCTAATGGGAAAATGTGAGCTAACTTGCTACGATCTGATAAACCTCTGTTGAATAGGCAGCGAGCAGAAAGGTGTGCAGTGGATCGTAGTGCTGCCCCCTAGTGGATAATTCAATAGTACTGCGGTTCAGGTGACTGTGATGGAATTTCAAATTTGATTTCTTCGTGGCTGGATGGTCCAGGATGCATTATCTATACTTGTACAGACTTTGATTAGCAACATAAAGAACATCTTATGATTTAACCTCTTCTGTCCGAGTTTTTGAAAGCTTTCTGTTTCTTATCAGTGTTGGAGGAAATCGCATCTACTGTAACAAAGGTGTGGTTAAAAGACAAGCCCGTACTGGGAATAGGCTGTAGGTGCGTGATGTCTAAATTTGTAGGTGTACATCAACAATGCAACACCAACTCTTTTTCTCTGGAATCACTCTATCAATTGCCATCTCAACTTCAATGCCCACCCCCATTCATTCATCTTATATGCCTTTTTCCTTCCGTGATACGATCCTCCATGCTGCTTACAAATTGTAAGTATGGTAACCCATCTTGTAAATGTAAATATTCCACACCATCGTGACATTCCAACCTGTATGAATTTCTTCAGTGGAACAAAAATAAGACATTTTGAAGAAAGTAGCTGACTCTATGGCTTCTGAAGACTTGGAATATAGCACAAAACACACACGAGCCACTTTTATGGTGTGTTTGCATCCTTTCTGAAGCTAGAAAGCACCAGTCCACATTATAATTGCGCGCATCTACATTCTTTAAAACACCTCCTCCTGTGTTCCACAGAAGAAAAATCAACAGGTTTAGAATAACATGCAGGTAAGAAAATGGCTATATAACAATCTATCTCAGTTCCTGATAGTCATTTGCAGCATCCTCTTATAAATAAAGAAGCTGAAACCAAAACAGATAAAAACTAAACTTGTGTTAAGTTATAATATGACTTGCAGTAAAACACATATATGGCACATTAACATTAATTTTACTATTACAGTGGGTTCGCTAAACACATGGAACCATAATTTGCTTTTTAGTCGTTTCTTATTTTGGTGTGCCACCAAAACTCCAACTACAGAAAAACATAAAAATCACACACATCCTGATCTCAAGTATATTTAACTCCAATTGAGTCAACGCACCCTCAACAGAGGTGGTTGCCACCAAACAGAGCAGGTAACTAATAACACACCCCTCGGTCCAGACACACAACAGAGTCAGGACGCATCCCACACACGCGTACGGACTCTTTCCTTCTCATTCTCACAGACTTAAACTGATCTGAATCAGATCAGACTTTAAGCTACACCAGTTAAATTAGTCACAGAGTAAGAACTTCAACTGTGACCATTTAAAGACAACATTTTGACAATTTTGTGAATACTTTTGTACATTGTGAAAATTTGGTAGTTACATTAAGCAGAATCTGGCGAGTATGCATTTAGCAAATCTCAATTTGACAGTCTCAAGATCACAATGTAAATTAATCAGAACAAGGCCCTGAGGGGAGTGCAGAGGAAAATAAAAAGGGTGTCTGAAGGACAGGTGATTGATTGTACAAAACCCCCACCTCCCACAATATGCATTCTCAAAGGTGTGCTGTGGGGAAGGGAGTTGGAAACAAGTTTCACTCTAGAATAGACTGGGTTGGAATGAACAAGTGACTGAAATATTTCAAAGATGTGAAGTGAAGGCATTGAGGCCTTATTCCTCAAGTCATTCCAAACCTGCATGACTTTTCTTTACTAGATCTATCTATGATTTATAATCTCCTACTCTAGCAATACTATACTAAAAAGAATACATTTGCCAATGTTGGGCATTTTGTTATGAGATGTTTTTGTGCAATAACTTTCGCCAGCTTTTTTTCCATTCCTTAAGGCATGTAGGCTCTGGTGAATCAGAGCTCTCTCATCTCGTAGGCGCAAGACTGATGAAAGTCATCTCAGTTATATTGTTCTCCTGCCTGTCAAAGTTCAGAGGATCTGAGTGTGCTCAGTGCGACCTCTTACTAAACTGTAAAAAACATTGGGTTGCTATGGATGTGTATTAATAAGTCAACTGTTCTCTTTCAGAAGGAGAAAAGTACAAAAATAAACTAGAGAGGATTCAAGATCAGTGCAGAGTCAAATTACACAACTTGTTAGTTTACACAGCAGCGCATCTTAATTAAGCCCTTGCTGAAATGAGGATAATTACTGACAGTTATCATGGAAAGTTTACGGTTTAGGGAGAAATGACCTTTCCGATTATCAGTGGAATGATTTTCTAAGATTAAATTCCTCCAGTTTAAGGTTAAAAGGCTTTGATTTCTGCCACAAACAAGTGATTTCATCTAGGAGTCTTGTGCAAAATGGCTTTGATTTTGCTGACAAATATGGCAGAGGGGGGCATTTTTTTCTTTCTTGATGTTGTTATAATGAGACTTTGATGTTGTTTTGAAGCATGTTGTGGACAGACTGACTTCAGGGAGTAATTGAAAAAGCAAGACCTCTTGATTTATGTATTTCAATAAATCAGTTGTGCTAAATCTGCCCAATGTTGTTTTGCTGGTTTTCTTACCTTGAAGTCAAAGCTGCATAGACTGACAGCATCTGCATCGTCCTTCTCTCTACGCTTGCGTTTCTGCAAAAAGGAAAACAACCTTTAAGAATCTGAAGCACAATACACATCTAAACTAAAAGGTGACACTTACAAAAACTGTAAAAACTTTCTGGCTTTGAGAGAGGAACCAAGGAAGACATTCTTTTGTCAACTTCTCTACAGTTTTCCTTTAGTTTCCTGAATAATATGCAAAGTGCTACCTCAAAAGTTGGTATTACGGGTTACAATGGCTCATAAGGAGGTCCAGTGAGACTCAGGAAGGACATCATTATCCCTGAGGCATTTTAGCACCTGTGTCTGTGAGTCGGGGGCTGGTGGGGCATCTGGCTAGTGAAAATTCTACCTGTGGAGTGTGTGCAGGGTGTGAAGGGGTTATACATTTTTTTGCAGCACTGCGTTGGCCACCAAGAGCCCTCAGGGTCTCTGTTATTGGCGTATGTTCTCTTTACTAGACTTTTCCCAAAACCACTTTACGAAACCTTTCAACACAGGCCATTTAAAGACAGTTTAGTTGGTGGCTGAGCTATAGTTTAATGAACCTCCCAAGAAGACATCAGCCCCTCCATATAACTAGACCCACATGGATCTGCACTTTTTTTATTTTTTGCATTATAATGAAACAACATTTTGTATTTTATTCAATGATAATTATGTATGTATGTATACAAGCAATAGACAAAATATCATTATTAAACCCACAAGTAGGAGGTTTTTGAATGTTAGTAAATCTTGACTATTCATCCAGAGTGAGGCTACATATTGAAAAACGGGTGGTAGTTTTAATGTGCCCATAATCTACATTACACCTTTATATTCAACACTTACAAAACAGGGCTAGTTTGCAAGTCACTTAAGGTTTTGTTTATGAGACCGGTATCAATTGAAAAGCCCATATTGTTAATGTCACTGCCACTAACAGAAGTAACGTCTTGATGAGCTCTGTTTTCTTATAGGGTGAAAGCATTTGTAAAGTCATGTGATCAAAACCAAACACCCTACAGCCAGCTCACGAGTTTCATTGAAGCAATGAGTAGATTAGGCTAATTTAACATCAAACCCATTGATGGCGAACAAGTTGGCAAACACTAAAACAATAAATGACAAGCTATCATTTAGCAAATCCCCATTCACAGACAACAGGGAGAATTAATCAAGACCCTGATTGGAGGGTTTTAGTTGACCGTAATGATTGCTCGCCCATCAGAAGCTGAGCTACTGAGTGAATCACAGGTTACTCATGGTGTTTGGTTTTGAACGTTTTAATAGATAACACAGATAAGCGGCTGCTTTTGTGTTATTTGACCATGGAGAAAAGCTAATAGTCTGTAAGTTTACAAGTGGCACCGATACTGCTCGTGTATTTAGATAAAAATGTATGTAAAATTAAAAATTAGGTCACCATTGGAAAGCATAAAAAAAAATCACTCGGAAGAATAAAACTAAAGCGTCACAATAAAAAGAAAGAAAACTGAGAGCAACAAAGAGAAAAGGTCAAAATGATAGACAAGCCGTGTATTTTGGCCCCAAACTGCATGTTCCTGGTGGACAAACCATAAACGGATATTACTGCAAAGAATTTATGAGAGCAAACAGCAGCTGGCACAGAAAACATGAGATTATTAAACAAGCTCAATCAAAGTCACGTTTTTGGGACACTCTGCATATTGCAGGGGTCAGTAAGAGCTAGGATGAAGAGTTTGTGCACATGATGGCCAAGACATGTGGTTTTGACACATCTGGATAAAATCAATATGCATGAAGCCCATCTGTTAGAGAGAGAACACTGATTACCAATCAATGAGGGGGAAAAGTCTAAAAAGCAAAAAATGAAATGGAAAAGTCAACATGAAATGGTGTTTGCAACCCATTTAACTTCTGTAATGTGACATTTTCCAAGTAAAACTGGATATTCAATTAAAGAAAAAAGTAGGATGGGACTTCCATCAGGCTGACTGGATGTGAACAGTGGTTGGTAGAAAGGAGCTGAAAAATAAGACGGCCTGAAAAGTTGTTTCAAAGGGGAAAAAGGAAATCTTTAAAGTTAGAATTTGAATTACAGAATTGGAAAAATGATTGTTTCCAAACAGGTTTCTCCTCAAGCTACCATTGTTCAGGTAGTTTCATCCCAAACTGATGCCATCAGTAGAACCAATGCTGCAACTTGAGCATGTCACCTTTACAAAAAAGACTTAGGGGCACATTTTTTATAAAATGAAAGTATAATGTTCAGTTGTCTCAAGCTGCTTCCTGTCTCTTCTGCAATCAGTCTTGACTCTCATTGTAACAGTAATCTAGATGCTACAGAAGAAAAACCACACATTTGTTGTATGAATGCCAAACCAACAAATAATTTTCATAAGAACTACCTTAGTTTCCTTATGAACTGAATTACATAAAGACCTTTAAATTATGCTACATACATTTGCATATTGGAAGACAATGAAACCAGACGTTTGAACATGTCTGAGACAGATTTTTTCAAATCATCATCACATGTTGGCACAAGAAGCTGTCAAATTTAAATCCGGCAGTATCACAGAGGTCTGCAGGCCACTTCCTGCATAATCCATCTGTTGTTGCACCACCTTGTTCACCCTGCGGCCATACAGACGGCCTTAACCAGAAGAACTACTTCCACATTAAAGACAAAGATTCTACGCTTTTATGTTCCAGGAGTCTGAGAAGAAATGAGAGGAGGGAGGAATACTCTTTCACCTCAGCAGGGTTTTGAAGGTGAGATAATGGCGTTTGAGCTGGAAGCCTAATGAGGCCCATGTGCCCACTAGATGAGCTAATGTGTGTGTGTGTGTGTGTGTGTGTGTGTATTCATGAAAAAAAAAAAATTACATATCAAAGGAACACTTTGGCACGGGATAAAGCGGTCAGTCTTCTTTCCCGTCTTTCCACCCCCCAGTTTTCCTACAGATGAGAGATGGATTGCGTTTTGCTTGGCCTTCATAAACTTTGGAATGCTCTAATCGGGCTCTATTCTCTGCTTTCAATCACAAACTAGTTTGCATTTACTGCTTAACTGATTCAGTGGGAATGAGGACTTTGGATATAGTTTGGTGGAAATTTGGGGGATAGAGAGACGCTTGGGAATGTATCAGTGGCAATTTGTGCATCAGCTCAACCAGAGGCACGCGATGCCATGAGAGGATTGAGATGTCATCAGTTGGGGACAATGTGATTGAGAGGCACAATATCTGCCAAAATTTTCGTAAAGGGCAAGGGGAAAGTACACTCACTAACTTGCGTGAAGGAAAAAGATGGAAGGTTTAACAAAAATGACCTTATGGGTGTAGTATTAAAGTTTCTGAGGCATGAAAACTGGTGAACCGTAGCAAAGCACCATTAATGGAGCTACAGCATTCACGTCATTTAAAATACAAAGGTCACCTGTTGTATGTCCAAATTTTTTATATTAAAATTTTGGTCCTGCTTTACTTACAGGCTGTAAAATGCTGAAACAGAGTGGTAATGTGAAAGTGAATAGAACAGTCATTTCTAATTTCCTTATGGCATTGAAAACTGTATAGTTAAATAGAATTGCCTAAAAAGATTCTGTTCAGCATCTATTCTTCTGAGAAGGCACTGCACTAAGCCGTATTATGAAACAATTAATCAAAGACTGTGGCCAAATCAAGAAAAATCCTATCTAGTGGTTAGTTCAATATAAAAGTATTGGTAAATAAAAATGTACTATTTCAGCTAATCTGATTTCTGTCAGGACCACTATCGTCAAAGATGATTGACAATTAGCATACAGTTTGGATTGGCGGTATGATTCTGTTCTGGGCAAGAACTCCCTGCGCATCCATGCAGCCCAGCATGGATGAGAGCAGCAATACCCCCCCAGGGTAAACAGAACAGAACCAACATAAATGTATTGCAGATATTGTTAAAAGTTCAATAGTTTTATGTACACATTTTAGAATTAGTCTGATTCAAAGGAGAATCAGAAGGCTGAATCCCGACTGACAGAGGAGGAGTTGGGGATGGAGGAGGGTAATTAGCTATTGAGCAATGCGAAAACTGCTGATAATACTGAGCGACCTTATATATGAATGCTTAGATGGGTGTCGTATTCCTATAGGTAGATGGGGATCAGCTGAGAGTCAGCTGATGCGAGCTTGACTAACGTGACCTGCCAGAACTAATGCTACGCTTGATTTTTAACATTTTAAGTTCTTACATCCTGCCCAATATTGTCCTCCAAACAGTGTACAAACTGAAGAGTGTATCTATGTAGTAGGGGTGGAACGGTTCAACTTACTCACGGTTCGGTTTGTGTCACGGTTTTAGAGTCACGGTTTCAGTACGGTTCGGCGTGTGCTATGTTTAGGCAAAAACTATACTGTCAAATAAAAATAAAGAAAATAAGAATAATCTATCTAACTACAAGCAACAGCACAAATAAATATAATAGAGTAAAGATACAAATAAAATAACCAGTGATTTTCAGTTTTTTTTTAGGTAGGTCTAACATTAATTTTCAGGTACAGAAACTGAATAAAGTATTTATTTATAAAATGAAATGTAAAACAGCATTGCATATTTGACTGTATATATTAAAGATTAATCTCTATTAAAGTTACAAAAGCTATTCAATCAAGAGCAGTGAGTGATTTCTTTGTTGTTGCTGTTTGATTAATATTAAGAAAGTGCTGTCACTTTAAGAGAACGCACTGATCCAGTACGTTCAGCCAGCTATGTCTGCTATAGGATACTTAACAAGACGGGCATTTTGACATAATTTTTGTGTGAATTTATCCATTTAAACAATACTTCAGAGAGAGCTTAATATTTGCGCGCGTTCTGAGGTGCGGGGTTTGCGCGCTTTCCGATGAGCTCACGCACAAATCTTCTCACTGCGTGCGTGCGTTGTCAGATTTAAGTTGAACCGCGGTCCTAGCACGTGCCGAACCGTACGGTTTGATTTTTTTTTTTCCACGAACCGTTCCACCCCTACTATGTAGGTTATGATATACACCCTCTTTGGAGAGGTGTGTTTCAAATCACTTATTCAATGACACTTATGATGCTACCTCAGTAGCTAGCTGCCTGTGTTGACAGTAGGCCTGGGCGATAAAACGGTATCGATATTTATCGGCGGTACACCTTCGATATCGATAGAAAAATTGTTCGATATAACGCACGATATAGGCACGTACTATGAGTGACGCAGACAGCACACACAAACACGAACATGCTGAAATGAGTGCTGTGCCTGCCTGTGATGAGGAGATTGTGAATAAAAGAATGAATATTAGTCGAATTTAAAATAAACATTTGCATTTGAATGTTAGGAGTGCGTCAGGGAGCGTCATCAGTGGAGCGCGAGATGCATTGATGATGTAAGTGGCGTTGAATGCATTTACATTTTTTTGTTAGTCTAGCCCAAGACCTATACAATAAAGACCTATTTAATCTGCATATAAAACATTAGAAATTAGATATTTGTTTAATTTTTATTGTGTTTGTTAAAACAAAAATTATTTGTTGTTTGTCTCAATAAATTGTGTTAATTATAAATAAAGTGGCTAAATGTAAAAAAAAATTTCTATTGCTTTTTGTTTTATAAAAAGTTTATTAAAAAGTCAATAATTATCGATACCGAACGATATGAAACATTATATCGTTGATAAATTTAGCTATATCGGCCAGCCCTAGTTGTCAGTAGGCCTGTCACGATAACAACCTTTTGTTGTGCGATATATTGCCCCAGAAATAATTGCGATAAGTGATATTATTGTCATTCTAAAGACCATTTTATGCCACTGAATATATAATCATAATGTAACAGCATAATAATGCAAGAAGGCCTACACACTTCCAAATGACAACACTTTTAATTTTTAAGAATATTCAGATCATGGAAATTAAATATCAAAATATTAGATACCTTAAAAAACCTGAATAAATAGTAAATAAACATTTTCTAACAAAAAGTGCAAAGTAACAAGTAGAAAAAAAGAAAAATGCACAAAGAACTTGTATGGAGATTTTTCCATCTACAGATTTTTCCTTATTTTCTCTGTAAATTAAGGGTGCACACTTTTGCTGAAAAACACAATCACTACTTAGCAGTCAGATGTCCGTATGCACAAAGGCACAGATCCCTAAACAAGACCATATCTGCAGATGAAACTTTTTTTGTAGAAGCATTTTTTAAATTTGAACTAGCACCTCATGACTACACCACGTTATGTACAAGAAGCTGCAAAAGACACAGGCGCAAGTGGAATGTAAAAAACATGGTGACATTAATTTCTAAGTAAATATAATGGGCGATATATTGCGTCACCAAAAATTATTGAGGTCATGTACATATATTGCGCGATAAGTCGATATATTGATTATTGCGACAGGCCTAGTTGACAGTAGACAGCAAAGTGGCTTGGAACAGAATTACTGGGTGTTTTGTATGCTTCAGAAAGAGTTGAGCCATATGGATGTCATAAGCTACTCACCAGCGTGAAGTCCCACTGGGGTCCAGGTGTCAGGAAAGTAAAAGAACTTCCTCGTCTCAAAGACGGCCTACAGCAAGAAAAACACAAGATAAGATTCTCAAAACAATTATTCTTCTAAAGCCATTTGAAATAAAACATTTAATTCCCTCTTCACACAGAAAACCAGACAAATACAAAGCATCCAACCAGACCCAGACCTGTATGTCCATAACCCAACAATGTCAGTGTGCCCACAAGAAAAGCCCATAAATGTAAAGACACATCCTGTACGTACCACACACCAAGCCTGGTGTAGCCCCGTCTCCCGTGACACTGCATCATGGTCTGCAGAACCGATACAGAGAGAGCGTCACTTAGCCCCGATCTCTCTAACTCACACCAAGACACTCAGTTTTTGCCGTCTTTCAGCCACGTGCCCTTTCCTTCAGTCTCTATCCATCATGTCCTTTTACCCACAAATGCACTGCCCCTCATTGTTGGCTGGGCCCTTATTTGGGGACTGGTGACAACTGTCTCAGCGAGGTCATGTTTGCAAAGATACCCAGTGTTCCTTTTCTTTTTTCAGCCACGGTAATGGGACGGCCCGCCAAAACTTTTATACAAAGCCTTCAAAAACAATCTAACATTTATTATCTGCTAATTTACAGAACTATGAATAAATCATCATTAATGGAGTTATGAGGTATTGCCGTTGGATTGTTTATTTTAGCAACATTGCAAAAGAATGATCAATTACCCTGAAGCGCATGTCAGCATTATTCTAAAGAAAATATTTCTGCCTTTCAAATCACTCTGAAATCATTTTTGTTCACTGATGTAATCAAGGCCAAAAGGGTGGTGAAAAATATTTTCAACAATATATTGCATTACCATATGGCTACTTGCCAAATTAATACACTACTGATCAAAAGATTTTGTTTTTGAAAAGTCTCTTATGCTCACCAAGTCTTCAATGATTTGATAAGGAACACAGTAATAATTGTAATATTGTAAAATATTATTAATTTAAAACTATTTTCTGTTTTAATATTATGTTAATGTTATTTTTTTCTGTGATGTAAAGCTGAATTTTCAGCATCATTACTCCAGTCTTCAGCGTCACATGAACCTTCAGAAATCATTCTAATATGCTCATTTGGTACTCAAGAAACATTTCTTATTATCAATGAGAAAAGTTGTGCTGCCAAATATTTATAAGTCTTTACTATCACTGTTGATCAATTTAATGTGTTACTTTCTTAAAAAAATAAAAATAAATCATACTGATTCCAAACTTTAGAACAATAAATACATGGACATAATGGCATTTTCAACTCAATATTTGAGAAGACAAAGAATATTTTGCATGAGACAACAGTCGCAGTCTTTTTTTTCCAGAAATATTTGACCCCAGAATGCTTTTGTTTTAATCGGTAAGATTTAATCGTGCGTAAGTTATTTAGCGGTGAAAGCTGTTTTCAATGCATGAGGATGAGTCAAAATCTGACAGCCTCCATTTATAATAACAGATGTTTTTTATATTAAAAGTCTTTATTAAATATGGGGGAACTTCATATCACAAAGAATCATCACTAAAACAGTGGAAAACAAAATGAAGACATTCATTCTCATGTGAACATGTGAATGTTTGGGCTAATTTTTTTTATTCTGTCTGATGTGGTTTCTGCAGGCATCCCCCATCTCTATATCTTTCCATGAGTTGTCTGTTTATCATTTCGTCACTTGAGTGCAGATGACCGTAGAATGAAAATGGCGTATATGTATATGAGAAAATAGGTAATTACAGTTCAACAACTCAAGAGAAAAAATGTTTGTGGGAAGTGAGACAAGCTGGTTCTCACAGAAAGACTAGTTCAAATGTGACTCATTTAACTTGAGGTGTGTTTAACAATTGAATTATGTCTGATGGTGTATATGGTACAGGTTGTTTCTTAATAACAATGTAAGAAATGTGGTGATGCAGTGAGCAGAACATTGAGAAGCTGGGTGATCCTGGGTGTGATATTATCTGACCAGACAGAGGGTGTAAGTGTGTTAACAGAGTACAGAATCTATATCAGTGTCCACTAGAAAGAGACTCTACTGTGGGTGGTCTCGACTGCTAAAGACAACAGGGGACTAAATATGTAGGTCAAATGACGCTGCCAATACCATGATGGAGTGTCCTCCATTCCACACTGCCCTGCTGAGGCAGTGTGGAAAAGTAGAGACAGCATATTTAATTTATATGGATAAAAAGAGACTTGGCTGTGACCAGGCCAATACGTAATATGTACTTAACAAGTGATATTGAAAAGTGCATATTTTGTGAGTAATGCACCAATATTGGAACTTGCTGTCATAAAACGTGATGTTATAAAACACCATACAGTCTCTTGTCACACACTGTTTGTGTTTGCATGCAAATATTAGCTAAATTCATTACCTTAAAATTCACAACTTTCAGATTCATAATTAAATGAATATTTTAAGAAGCTTTTCTTTAATAGAAAATCTCCCAACGACAGCATCACAACAAACATCATCGATGTTCAAGGGGCAATATTAGTTACAATAACGTAATATAAAATAATATTTAAAATAATTATTTTCATGTTTTAAAATTTAATTTATTCCTGTGATGGCAAAGCTTAATTCTGGCCATTACTCCAGCCTTTTAATGTCACAAGATTATTGTAATATGCTGATGTTGTGCTTAACATCTCTTTATCAATGCAGAAAACTTTATTTTTCTCTGAATTTTTGAATATACGGAAAGTGTAAAACAACAGTATTTATTTGAAATATTTTATAACATTATAATTGTCTTTGCTGGCACTTTTTACCAATTTAATGCTGAAGAGGTATTAATTTACCTAAAAAAATCACTAACCTCAAAGTTTTGTATGGTAGCGTACTATTTAGATATACTAATTCTGATCTGTCACACAGTTTAGACTGGATAGCATGTGTGGACAGTAAAACGAAACATGGGCTGTGAGAATTATGGGACTTGAGACCTTAAAATCAACATGAGATCAAATCCAACAACCTGCTATTCTAATATGCAATACTCCACTCAATTCCCAATGGAAGTGAATCCAAATTAAACATGTCATCAGCTACTTCTGAACATGGTTGCAATATTGATTGATTACAATATTTGGCTAACACAGAAATTTTGAGCAGACTGAATACTTGATTACCGCAAGCGAACCAATTGTGGTTTTAAAAGGGGAAAATGTGAAATGGACCTGTAGCCATATTGCGTAAAATGCCAACAGCAGCGTTTCCTAAGCCTGTTCCTGGAGGCCCTCAGCACACTCTCCATAATCAAACACACCCGATTCACCTCATCAGCTCAATTTCAAAGACTCCAATGCCTGAAACAGGTGTATCAGATAAGAGAGACATACAAAATGTGTGCTGTTTGGGAGCTTCACAAACCGAGAAGGGATACTATGAGTGTGTAGTGCTTCCAAAACATGACTGGAATGCCGAGGTGTTGTCTGAAACGTTGGACACCGACATGACAAATATGGACCAAATAGCACACACACCCTGTGATGGTTACATCAACACAAACACCTCAGAGTCTCTCACAGGCAATGTAACAGACTGCACAAATACACCAAATATGAGGCCTGCCCTGTTCTGAGAACTCCACAGGACATTACATCACTATAGTTATTACCTTCGAGTGTCAGATGATCAGATACGAGTGTGGGAACATGTAAGATGCTACTTTGTGTTCGTAGGTTGACGTCATTGTTGCATTGGTCGTTTTAATGTGTGCAAATTCATTTAAACACAACTGCACTTCTTGTGTATCGTATTCTGAATTTTGGACGTCCTAAGTAGTCACAATGTACCATACAAACCAATATTTAGTTTTAAGGGGACGGTCAACGTTGGTTTCAAGTTTTTTTTTTTTCTTCTGTCATTGAGAACGCAATCCCACTGACGTTAAGGTGGGAAAACACTGAAGGGGACTCGGGTTAAGATAAGTAGGTTTGGTTTCACCGTGCTTTACGTAGCAAACAAAGGAGAGGCCTTGGAGGAATGATATGTCACTTACTCATCCAGATCACTCCACAATGGCTTCAAAAGCTTTCTTTGTTGTGGTCTCCACTGTCAAATATGAGACATCATATATAACGAACCTGTAGAAGGCCACGTAAAGGGTTTGAGTGTCAAAACGGCACAGAATAGATCATCTGAAATTGGATAACGGTTGCCTTAAACATCTACAATGTCCTGCTATGTGCAAAGCAGTGACGTTGTGCTCTTATCTTAACTATATCTGGTTTTTCAGTGCGTATTAAATGAAATGGGTTATTGTCGACTAAATCCTTGGGGATTACTGGACAAAACAAGGCCAAAAACAAGACATTTAATAAAAGTCTATTTTGCTTTTCTGTGACACAACACTACGTCAGAACATATAGTGAGCTTTTCACGTCACCTTTTTTTTTTTTGCTCATAGTTCATAGAAGGCAAGTATTAAGGCCCATTCACACCAAGAACTTTAACTATAAAGATTAGATTAGCGCCCACACTTAGACATGATAACATTGTATTTATTATAAGTGCATGCTGCAGTTATGTTGTCTGCCACTTTAAATGCTCAAGCACTGTAGCGCAAGATGGATTCTGATGGAATTTTTAAAATTATCTTTATTGATATTGTTACAGTGTAAACAGGCCTTTACTATATTTGTGACCCTGGACCACAAAACCAGTCATAAGTCGCTGGGGTATATTTGTAGCAATAGCCAAAAATACATTGTTTGGGTCAAAATTATTGATTTTTTTTTATGCCAAAAATAATCAGGATATTAATTAAAGATCATGTTCCATGAAGATATTTTGTACATTTCCTACTGTAAATATATCAAAACCTAATTTTTGATTAGTAATATGCATTGCTAAGAACTTAATTTGGACAACTTTAAAGGTGATTTTCTCAATATTTAGATTTTTTTGCACCCTCAGATTCCAGATTTTCAAATAGTTGTATCTCAGCCAAATATTGTCATATCTTAACAAACCATACATCAATGGAAAGCTTATTTATTCAGCTTTCAGAAGATGCATACATCTCAATTTCGTAAAATGTACCCTTATGACTGGTTTTGTGCTCCAGGTTCACATTTATAATTAATTATAGAAAAAATCATTTTTAAATCATTAACTTTAATCAATATTGAAATCACGATTACTTTTTTTCTTTGGATTTTCACATTCAATTAACTGAAAAACAATATGTAAAATGAAAATATAAAAATGGAAACACTTTAATATAGGGACCAATTCTCACTATTAACTAGTTGCTTATTAGCATGCATATTAATAGCATATTGGCTGTTTATTAGTACTTATAAAGCACATATTCTGCATGAACATATTCTACATCCCTAATCCTACCCAATACCTAAATTTAATAACTACCTTCACTAACTATTAATAAGCAGCAAATTACGAGTTTGAGGCAAAAGTCGTAGTTAGTTAATAGTTTGTTAATAGCAAGAATTGAACATTAAAATAAAGCGACCATAAAAATACAATTTATAACAAAAATAATAATTTTATCTTAAATATCATGTTTTCGTAATCATTAGATGCCAAATTCGCAATTGAAAATACATTTAAACTTTGTAAACTATCTTGCATTTTATCCATGGATGGATAAAAGGGGAAAAAAAATCATGCAGCTTCTTGTAAAGAGATGTTATTACATTTAAGTGATGGCTTTTGACTTTTCGGACAATAAAGAAGGTGAAACAAATCCCATAAACTTACATTAGAGTAACTGCATTATAATGTCACTAACTACTATTTTCTCAACTCTCTGTAAACCGTTCCCTTGAAAGATATCCAATACAATGTAACTCTTTGTTTTTGAATGCTTCCTTATGAACAGTCCATTAGATTCTATTTTTTCTATTTACAGGGTGACGTCATTGTGACGCTGGTGCTTTTGATGTGTATGTTGTGTGATGCTTGGGTAAGAATTTATTTAAACAGTTATACTTCCTAAAAGTCTTAGATGCGGACCAGTTTGTAAAATATCTAGGAAAGGACTCTTTTGACATCGGCCACCAAGCACATGCCTCGTGACACCCAAATAACCACCCTGGCAACTGCATAGCAACACACTAAAAACATTTAGAATATCATAGTGTCCACATAGCAATGACTTTGCATCATAGTGGCAAGTAGCTCTCAAATTTTCCAAAAAATTTTAAAAAGTTTCCATGCCATTTTTGATGTTTTCTGATTGTATAAGAGGCAAATAGGGTCACATTTCCTGGTGTTCCAATCAGGCAGAAGGCTTGGCATGAGAGAAAAAAAAAAAAACAGACCCTCTGCCAAAATAAACTGTTGTTATTTCAGCCTGTGATAAAAGCACATTTGATGCTCTCTGGCTTCTTTCTCAGGGTTTATGTGAGATCTTGCATATATTTGGCATGGTCTATTTACATGCAGTACCTTGGACACATTATCAGATGTCTTCTTTGTTTAATATTGATAAAATGGCTATACACCAAGATCTGACAGATGTTAAAGTCATTCATTCATTCTAACCTTTTAGATCAAAATCAATGTCTTTGCATACAAATAAAGATGCTTGCCGTATGTTTTTGTTTATTTTATATTGTCAAATTATTATATACCCGTTTAGTTTGGTTGTTTTTATTAAATCTACTTTGGTGTGTATACTTTGTAAACATCTTTGGCACTAAAATGTGAATGATGTTGTTGTTGTTGTTGTTGTTAGTAAGTCAGTCAATTGCATTACACAGCTGATTAAGTGATAATGCCGATTTAAAACACTGCTAAGTTTTTGTGTAAAACTCTTAAGTGAGCTAAAAAAAATTAATCACTTGTTCATTTAAAACGGGTGTGTTAAGAGGTTTGAGCTGAGCATTTTTTATGTTGTGGCTTGAACGCTGCTCTTATATTTTATGAGGCATTAGCGCCATGATGTGGTGGGATGAAACATGAACGTTACAGCAATACATACGCTCTCCTGCATTCATGCTTTGTTTTCATTAGTCGACATATTGCGGAAGTTTTTCTCACTTTTGAAAACACAACAAACTCATACACCTATACTCACCCATTTAGTGGCATGTTACAGAATAACTTATTAGATATGGTTTATATAGATAAAACTGTTTAAATGTAATCAACAAATACGTTTTTATTACCAGATCTACATGCAGTTCTCATAACTGCAAAGAGTGGCATATTTGGCAAAGGGATACGCAGACCACAATAGTGCGAGCATTGGAATAATAATAAAGACCACCAACAACAACAACAAAGTGTGTGATATGATCTTCCTGACCGTTTTAAATTGCGCTCTGGAGACGCGTCGATATCCGCTACCGACGACTTTCTCTTGTTCCTCCTCGGTCTTTCGTTCACCGGCTCCGCCATCGGCGCTGGAGATCCGTCAGTTTCCTCCATTTGAAAATGTGGACCTGGAATGCGCTACTGTAAACTGTTTATACAAAACGTAGTACAATTAAAATGAGAAATTTTGGGGGGTGAATTGAAAGGGGGAAGTTGGCAATATTCAACGGATGGGACGGATTTTGAATATGGCGGAAATCTGAAATCGTAGCCAATCAGGAGTGAGCAGGAGGGGGCACGGTTGATGGCGACTAATGACGTAACACTTCCGCTTCCGTGACAGAACTGACGGAGTTGGACACATCTGACGGAGGTGACGAAAACCTTAATTTGTAGGCATTTTAACTATCAAATACATTGAATCAGTCAATTACTGTATTAAAACAAACACAACAAACAGTGAGTATGTTATTGTTTATAAAGCTTTTATTCAAGAGTCACATTGAAGTATTTTGATATATCACTGGAAAACAAAATCTTATGGTGGTGACATCTGACGGTGTTGACAAATTTGGCATTTCTTTCACAAAACCAGTGGAGTTCATGTAGTAGCCATTTTATTTTTTCTGTTGATGCTAGATGCTAATGGAACCTGCTTCAGGAGAATTAAATTGAAGGTGATAATTGTGTTAAATACATTCTATTATTAATCCCTCATGACATTTAAAATTTAAAATATTTTTTATTTTTAAACCTAATAGCAGTTAACCTTGCTGGAGAAACAGAGGGAGGGGAGGGACTCGGGAGGCCATGGCGGAACAGGGGACTCAGGTTGCCATGGCGGATCAGGGGGCTCAGGAGGCCATGGCGGATAAGGGGGCTCAGGAGGCCATGGCGGAACACGGGGCTCAGGTTGCCATGGTGAAGCCGGGGACTCAGGAGCCCTCCGTGGGCTTAACGGGGAAACAGGAGCCCTCTGTGGGCTTAACGGGGAAACAGGAGCCCTCCCTGGGCTATACTCGGCTTCGGGCTTGCCACATTAACGTCTTTCGGGCTTGCCACATCGACATCCTTCGGGCTTGCCACATCGACGTCCTTCATAATGATTATACGGGCTAAACCAACACAAAGGGAAGAAACCACAACAAACAGTCCACAGGGGCGTTACAATAAATGTATTTTTGTAAGCCCCTTGACTTTTTGTATCTTTTAGATATTATAGGTTGTTATTGTATGGTAATATCTGTTCTATTTCTAATGAAGATAAAAATGTAGCCTGAAGATTAAAAAAAATATGGTAAACTGCTGCTCATACTTAAGTCTATTTTTTAACTCAACACAGCTGACTTTTAGGGGCTTTCATTTCTAAAATATTTTAATAATAGCATCTGAATATAGTAAGGTTGATGTATAGACTGTTGTCGTGCCAATTCTACAAAACTGAACAAATCTGGTAAAGTAAGCTGGCCTAATTGAGTTTGTGGAGATAGGACAAGTAAAGGATGATATGCTGTAGTTTGTGTAAGGTCAGATAAGATGAGCAGTTGGTTTTGAACTTTGTGTTTGAAGGCAAATTTGTCTCGCACAATAGTCCAGACCTCATTAGAGCTGAAAATGTTTAGCTTGTTTACTGCAAACTAATGATGCCTATTCTGTATGGTTACTCATTAGAAAGGCAGTTCAAGCATTGTAAATACACAAAGAAAAGCTTGACAGTTCCCAAATAATAAACTTTTTGTAACTATGAGTCAGTAAACCTTCCTTTTTTTTCTTTCTTTTTTGTAAAATGCCTGCTTATTATTACTCGAGGAAAACTTAAACGCAAAAAAAAAAAAAAAAAAATCTAGTCTGTTGTAGTTACATTTTTATTATTATACACCACATAATAATAATAATGTATAAAGTATAATTAAAATATAATATAAAAATATTTATTAGTGTTTGTCAACACATTCCCACAATGTTCATTAAAAAATATAAAGCAAATATAAAATTGAACCAAATACCAGGCTCTGCACATATCCACGAAATATCAGGAAGGATACTTCATATTCACATTTGATGGTGAAATCGTGGTTAATAATTGCCAGTGTTAATAATTCCCACACTTTTGAACTATAAACATGAACTATAATTAACACTGCTAAATGTGACTAAAGGCATTAGGATATTAAGAAATGATAAACATTTTTTCTCGAGAAAAACTAAAACGCAAAAAAAAAAAAAAAAAAATCTAGTCTGTTGTAGTTACATTTTTATTATTATACACCACATAATAATAATAATGTATAAAGTATAATTAAAATATAATATAAAAATATTTATTAGTGTTTGTCAACACATTCCCACAATGTTCATTAAAAAATATAAAGCAAATATAAAATTGAACCAAATACCAGGCTCTGCACATATCCACGAAATATCAGGAAGGATACTTCATATTCACATTTGATGGTGAAATCGTGGTTAATAATTGCCAGTGTTAATAATTCCCACACTTTTGAACTATAAACATGAACTATAATTAACACTGCTAAATGTGACTAAAGGCATTAGGATATTAAGAAATGATAAACATTTAACAAAATGATTTTCTGTAAATATTTGACGTCAAATTGACATTTACTTAACGTTGGATTTTGGTTACACAACCTAAAAACAACAAAATATCAACGTCAGCTGACGTCGGTATCGGACATCAATTTAACATTGACATTAGACATTGAATTTACATTGAATTTTGATCACCCGACGTCGCAACCAAAATTAATTAACCAAATATCAACGTCTTATGACGTTGTGTGCCTGCTGGGAAGCTGCTTTAAAACAATGCATATTGTGAAAAGTTCCACAGCCTAAAATGATCTGAACTATTTATATCACAATTTTTCTGCATATATTAGCTACATGCCGAATTTTTAGCTTGTGTCTCCTTCCAACCAACAGAGGGCAGAATTGATCTGCAGATGAAGTCAGTTTGGGAGCAGGTATTCTCTGGTGGAGTGTTAATTACAGCATTTTCATTTATTTGGTTGTGAATACATAGTTAGGGTACCTCAACATAGCAACCAAGCTTATTAAAATTTCACTCATATTCAGCTGAAAAGAAAACATTTATTTCTATTTTTCCAGTGTATTTTTGCAATAACCTCTTCAAAGGCTTGAGCACACATGAAGTAGGAAAAGGGCACTGATGGCCCTTTGAGCGTAATGGGAAGCCGAAGAATTGATCCCCAGTCATTATAACCGATTTCAAATGGTGCTAGATGACAGAAGGGACTCTAAGCACCAGAGGAAATCAGTCATCCTTTGGTGGGGAGAGATGGGGGCAGGAACAGCCAGAGAGGGAGAAAGAGCTTCAGAGAACACAGTCTCTCTTTACTAGCCCGCTCAGGTAAAGTTAACAGTTCAAATGAGGGAATGAGAAAAACAAATGCACACCACAGTTCCTATAAAGAAAGATAAGTAGGCAAATCCAAACACAAACTCTTTCACGACGTATTCATACAATAATTTGCCTATGGTCTCTGTAAGCAATGTAGTTATTAAATCAGTCCTATATCATAAAACTTGTTTAATGCAAAGTGATTCCTGCTTGTTTCCCCACAAGGAAACAATCCCTGGTTATCCTTGAACCTCATTTTGAAGAATTCAATTAACATTGCATGTTTTCTAGATGAAGTTTGTCGAGTTATTTGGTTGTATTTTAATGAGAAATTAGAAATTACAATTGAATTAAAGTTAGTTTAAGGTCCTGTGGCATTTCATCACGCCAGTGTTATTGTGAACTAAAACTATAAAAAGCTTATAAAATAAATAAAATAAAAATAAAAATATTAAACTTTAATTAGAACAAATTACTAAAAATTAGAAATGTTGCCTTAGTGACTAACTGAAATAAATTCAGCTGAATTACTACACCTAAATTAAGCTGAATTACTAAAAATATTTTTCAATATTAAAAAAAAACTAATAAAACAAACTAAAAGAACTAGAAAAGCGAATTCAAAATATTAATACTATAATTGTACATAAATACTAACATTTCTCATTGCTGTCACACATTTATAAATTCATACACTGTTATAATGCAAGATATTGCATCATATTCCTTTTGTTCCTACTTCCATGTTCTGCATCATTCACAGACATTGCATCATGCAAACATAAGATATCATCTCAAGATAATCAAGCCTTACAGAAACATCCAAAACAACTTTTAACACTGATGTTTTAGTGGATAAATACGGCAGTGTATAAAATGTTCACCTACTTCAACTTAAGCTCAGTTTAAGTCATTACAACTCATTTGTGTTATATTAAATTAGCTTGATGTTATATTAAAATAACGAAGTTAAATGAAGTTGAAATTGGTTAAATTATTTACATGAATTAAAGCAGTAGAAAAACATTTGTCATGACTTAATTTAACCAATTTTAACTTAATTTAAAAGTTTAAATATCTTGCAGCCAATTTTAAGGCAAATGAACAGAAGTTTTTAAGTTTTAGTTTTTTTTGTACAGTAAACAGCAGTATTTTCTTTGTGGGACTGGGCTGGCTTGTTCACACCGCATTCATTTGACTTCCAGCACATCTGAGTGAGTTCATCAAGTGCTTGAGGCAAACCATGAGCTCTATCTGGTTCTCCTGTGATTCAATAGACGCACTTCCCTCACTTCTCTTGAAAAGCCACTCCACCCATTATAGATTCCTTGTCCTTTTTTGTTATTTTTTGACTTCTCTTGGGATCGTCCATGGCTGCGAAATGTGATCCAGTGGCAATTCCCTCCCCAAGAACACTGATTTCAAATGGTGCTAGACACTGGTAGAACACATCTAAACCACCATGTGAAACCAGCATCCGGAGGAAGCGTCCAGGAGTGTGAACGATCCCATCAGAAGTCCCTGTGTCACTGGCTGAGCTGATGATTAACGTAACAGGAAGAGCAAAAGGTTGAAACAGCAGTGGGCATGCTTTAACAGGAAGTGATTGTCAAAACAAATGTCACGGTCATGGTCACCATGGCGTTGTGATTTTGAATGGTGACGTCCACTTTTCTCCATTGATACCAAAGTTGTTGATCAGTTGGATAAGATCGTGACCGCATCTTATTGCATAACACACACAATGTGGTTTGATGTATGGTGTGTTTGTGTATAAATAGGCCCTTGATTGCCCAGAAAGAATCCCTGCATCGGTTTTGTCAGTGGGAGGATGACGTCAACCCTTTTTCA